ACTTGAAGAATCATAATGTCACAGGTATAAAAATTTAGTGTCAGAACAAATATGCTATTAAGCTATATTGGCCATAATTTCATGCTATCATTTTCATGATATTTCATGTTATTAAAATTATATGATATATGAAATTCAATGAAATATACTTATTTAAATTGATGAATCCAAGAATTTTATGTTATTTAATTTAATTGTAATGGAATATGAGAGGTTCATATTGTGTTATCTAATTGCCATATACACATTGTTAATATTGTGACATGTATACATTGCCAATCTATATCATTCTCTCAATTTGTTATTGACTGGGTGATCGCGAGATAATTTGTTTCTATACTGGAGTCAGAAAGAACATCAGTAATTCTGTGCTAATTGTAAACTGAGAGACTACACTCTGAAAGCTTTAAATAAAACAGACATGGGAAAGTTTATTCATTTTCTCAGGTATGTGTAATTATTCATCTGGAAAATGATGCCCATCTTTCTGAACAGCAGATGATTTTGAAACAAAAGCAAACTGACAAGTTTTAAATGCAGTCTTCAGAATTTTCTGGGCTAGAGAATGTTTGTTGATACTGAATGAATTTTCCATATAGAAACAAATGGGATAGTATTGCTTTAGCTAGCTCTCTTGGTAATAGCTTTATTCTGTGTTCTTCCTCACTATAACAATACCCTGTAAGACAAGAAAGTATATCTGTGTATTCAATCTTTTGATTTTACCTGAAATGAAGTTGCTCTGCCTCTAAATCAATATCTCAGGGTTGAGTTGATTACATGTTTAATATTTTTAAAGGGTGAAAGAATTCTGGGGTATTGCTCTTGTGATAAGTGGGAATGTGCAGAACAGTCCAGCTTATAACTATATAGAGTTTTTATTTTTTCTTTTCTTGTCAGACCACGTTACACAGATAACTGGTTTGGGAATCTGACTCCTCTTGTAAGCTGTAATTAGTCAAAACTGCCATTGAATTGAGAATGTATGGTTAGGACAGAGAGAAGAAACATTGAAAACTGTCCTTTGAAGAATACTAATCCATGCAACAAAATAAGCTATTAACTCAATTCACTTATCTATGTAGACAATTGTCAACCCTTTTCTCCTGTTACAAAGTTTTCCTTATAAAACACTTAAGCATATTTAAAATGGAGAACACATTTGCTGGAGCCAAGGGAACTAACATTTTCAAATTAATACTCATTGTAATAAATATCTAAAAAGATTATGTCCTTTGGGGACATAACTGGGGAAAGAAAGTAGGGTTGTAGCTGGGTGACACAAACAAGAATACTTCTGTTGTCTTCTACTGTTGTTACAGTAGAACATGGCACTTCCTGGTTTGGGGAGCTTCTGGTTAGGAGAAGGAATTATTATCCAAGACATCTCATTTCCTTTGCTATTCAGCAAAAGCAAACCTGTAGACTTGATTGTATCAATTTGGCTTGAGAACCACTGAGGGATTAGTAAAGCACGCTTTTGAGTTTTTATGGGTGGGTCATGAAGGCTCGACCTTGAGCAGTCTATCTGGTTCTCACCCTAGACCTGGTTGCCACGCTCTGATGAAGAGAATGATGCCATTAAATGAAGCTAAGTATTTTGCACAGGAATAAGGAGATGCTTTGAGGTTACTCAGGAATCAGCAAGATTCTACTCAAGAGTAGAGTAGTAATTAGCAAGACTCTACAAAAGTATAAAACTTTCACTTAAGAAGAACTCTGGGACCAGAAGAGAACTCTGAGATTTTTGCTTGAGAAAGGCCTCCTAGGGAATCAGTTACCACACATTCATTTTACTGTACTCAACCGTTCAGGCTCCCACAGACTGGTTCAAGAACATGGCTACTGCTTCTACTGACAACATACCTTGGCATCATACTTGTGATGCTAGTTTTACTCACATACAGAATGCAAGCACTGTGGGGTCACAGAAGCTTCCACCCGGATTTCAAAGGAAGGATTGTGAGGCGAGGCAAAGAGACCCTTAGAGGGATGTGTGAAGTTCTGTGAATGAAGCAAAGGTGCAGTAGTGACCTCAAAAAGTTAGAGATTTCAGGAATTTCATGAAGTTGCTGAAGAAATCTACAGGCGGTGAGTGGAGGTATCCCAAGGGAAAGGCCATGTGGGCTGAAGCCACAAGGCCATAGGGATGGCTCCACCCAAGCCCTTTGGAACTTCCGTTTTACCAGTGTCCCCTGGATATCAGATACAAGACTTAATGTTTTCCCTGATATATTTTGGTCTTGTTTTGGTCCAGTTTTTTTCTGTCACCATTCCTCTCTTTTGTAATGGGAATGTTTACCCTATGACATTGTTCCTTGGGACGATGCAACTTACTTTTTAAATTTTTACTTTTAAGGAGATTCACAGAGTTCAGTTTTGACTTTTAGAAAATGCAGAAAGAGTTGAGAGTTTGGGAATGGGATTATTTCATTTTCAGTTATATGCTTGTGGTTATAACATGTTAAGTTAAATTACTAATTTATTATTGTATTTATTCGGGGATTGTGTTTGGCTTAAGGAGTTGTGTTAGGGTGTCCAGTAGATGAAGGGTGGTTAAGTCTGATTGTGTCAGTCTGACTGGATTTCAAGCTGCTTAGGTGATTAGTAAAGTATACTTTCAGGGTGGGTTACAAGGCCTGATCTTAGTGTCTATATTTGGGTCCTGGCCCTGCCCTCTCCGCCACTGTTCTCCTGCTCTGTTACTCACCACAGTGAGCTGGATATCTTTGCTCCTCCTTGCGCTACTGCCATGATGTTTCTCCCTTGGAGCCTTCAGATCATGGACTGAATTTTCTGAAACCATGAATATCAACCTCTGTAAATTGTGGGTGTTAGGTATTATATGCCAGCAACAGGAAAGCTTACTTATATAAGCTCATGTATGAAAGGACTTTGAACAACCACTTCTTAGGAGGTGGTTAAGGGAATGTCCTTAAATCCTCTCCTACTGATCTGTCTTTTCTAGCCTTCAATGTACAATTGTCAACAGATATGACACTAATTTATATGGAAGCTGTTATGGCTTGTCCTGCCAAGCCTCATGTGAATGAGGTGGGGGTTTCTTTTTCAGAGGTGACTGAATTGGGAATGTGTGATGCTAGCAATTAAGGGCATCTGATTACTAAACCAGTACACTGATTGGTTTGGCACTGCCCTAATCCTGGTAGTCTAGATAAGATAAAATTAGTGGAAAGACATTGTTAAGATTCTCTAGTTGCTTTGCTACTGTCTGCCTGCCATGAACTGTTGTCTCTCTGTCACCCTGCCTTGTTTATGGACTGAAACCTCTATAAACTGTGAGCTAAATAAACCTTTCTGCTTTTAACTTTGGGTACTGGGTATTTTGTTTCAGCAACAAGAGGAAAGTAACTAAGAGAGAATCAAGCTAAGGAGGTTTCTGCTGGGAAGAAGAACTGCACTGGCTGTTGGACTCCAGATGATACTTTTTATAACTTGGCAGAAAGTTTGTCTGCATTTTGTTCATCTGGAGAGACTTTGCTGAGACTGGGATGAAGGGCAGCAGACTAATTAATATTGCAGAAGAAATTTCAAGGAATCTAATGTTGAGGCAATGGCTTTTTAGCTGGATCTATGTTTCTGTTTTTTTTTTTTTATTCATTGGTACATTTTATTGGTACATTTTAGGTATACAATACATTTACATTTTTCATGAGGAACTTGTACCTTTACATGATACATCTTGGTTCTTATTTTTTCCCCATTCCCAGCCCTCCCTTCACCTCTCCACCCTTCCCTATTTACAAAGACTTTA